TCGCTGATCCCTCTTTGACTCCAGGGCCTTTGCACATGGTATTTCTCCTCCTGAAAGTCAGGAAGTCGATTCTAATCTAACTCTTTCTCATTCCTCATTCCTCTGTTGCTGGTTGGGCTAGACAAGAGTTCTATGCTGTTCTTATATGCTCCCATAGCACCCTGGCCCTGCTCAAATAATACTTTTTAAAAATTAATTCAATAGATATTTACTGAGTACCTGTAATGCACCAAGCCCTTCCCACCTCAGGGCCTCTCCCATGCTGTTTTTCCGCTTGCACATTTATCCTTTTACTCTTCATCTAGGTAACTCTTACATATTCTTTGAGTCTCTGCTGAAACGTTATTTCCTGCAAGAGGTCCCCACCCCTTTTCTCTCCCACAGCATCCTGTATGACTTCGTTTATTTGATGTCTGTCTCTTTCTCTCCACGTGGGAAGGGGCCAGGTCTGTTTCATCCATGATTGTGTTCCCATCCCTAGCTCAGAACCTGGCATGCAGCAGGCACTGGTTACATATGTGGTAAAGGAGGGAGGCAACAGGGTTCGCCCATAGACCATGACAAGGAATAAAGAATTGTATGTTCCAGGGGTGAACTCAGGTTTTGCGGAGCCTGAAGCTTAGACAATTTGAGGGTTCTCTTTTAAGAAAAATACAAAATTACAAAAACAAAATTAGGCAGAAAAGTGGACCTTTATGTAGATTGGGGAAAGAAATAATAAATTGTTAAGCCTTTAAAGTGGAAAAATACTTCAAATATCACAAAATACAGAAAAATGTTTTTGTTAACTGCCTAGCACACTGCAATAAGTCTTTCTCCACATTTTTTGGCTGAATAATACTCTTTTATTGCCTCTTCATATGTAATGATTCTGTAATATTTTCTATATAGAGAATGGAATGAGAATTAAGTCCTCTGGCATAATAATAATTATATTTATGATTGACGCAATGCATAAACACATGTGACCACAGCCAGACTTATTTGTTGTTTGCAGGACCGCTACAGTTTGTATCCTACAAACACAGGAATTCTGATAAATTATATTCGGCATTTTAAAAAGGGGAAAAAAAGGAAAGCATGTAATTGTATCGCCGCAGTACTCAATATATATATGCCTAAGGTATATGACTATGTATAAGTGAGAACCGGATTCTGCACTTACAATCTTACACATCTGATGTTTGGAAGAATTTCCTACAGACTAGCTTTTGGCTCTATACAGTTCAAATCCTGTTTCTCCTCTATTACCCACATGCTTCCAGGGCCAGGCTGCATAGGACACTCGCAAATCCCATATGGTCTTTGGCCCTGCATTTGAGTGCCATAATGCCAGGTAAGTCGGCACCATGGGCAGTAAGTGTGTTTCTGGGAACCATTTCTGCACTGAGATGGCTAGCAAAAGCCAACTCTACACAAAAGTGACTGCAAACCACCTAGATATGTCCCATAAAACAACTGTATCCCCAGCTTAACCTCCCCCAGCCAGATCGCAAAAATGTCCATGGCCACTTCAGTTCTGGGCAACATGAGGGGGAGTGTGACAGAGGGGAAGTCTGAGTGGAAAGGGATAGCAGTCTTAACTGAGTGTGGTTCAAATAGCTGACTTCGGCAAGTTTCACAAAACATGTGATCGCCACAAACACATTACTAGGGTCCCCTTCAGAACTTGTCCTAATGGGCGGCCCTAAAGCTTAAGTTTTATTAACTTCATGGTAAATTTGCCACTGCCTGTATCGTATTATTATGTGTGACCCCTGGCACCACATCTGGCACATAGTAGTTGCTTAATAAATATATGCTGAGTAAGGAAAAGTGTTGCTTGGCCTCATTACCCAGACGATAGTCTTTTCCCCCAGTAGATCTCATCCCTTTATTGAAAGCTGGTGCTCAGAATAGTTGATAGACTTATTGGAGGCACTGGGAGGAGAAAGAAAGGGACCGCTTGGTGGGATAGGCTTTCCCATCTCCCCATCACCGGGCAAATAAACTGACGCCAACACATCAGCCGCCCTCATTAGCAGCGAAGCGGCCCTGGCTGCCCTCTTGGGGTCATTCTAATTGGCTCTAATCAGGGAAAGCCAGGTCTGGGCTTTATAAAGTGACAACAGCTCCACTGTTAGAAGAGCAGGTAGAAAGATCACACTGGAAACACCATTTCCAAGCACAGAGTAATTACAACTCATTCTGGCTTTCGCAGCTATGCTGAGGAATCTTTATTTGTCCAGCCCTGCTGATAGTGGCCTTCCGGCTTCCTGCTTCCATTTTCTTCCTTGTTGTGAGGCAACAAGGGATCCCACACACTTTTTTCTTCATGGCCTTGGGTCCAGCAAGAAGAAATCTGGATTCCTAAGGGGCTGACTCTAGGGGTCTCCGGTGCTGAAGAATTAAGAGTCTAAAATTCTAGGGTAAGGAGAGTAGGCTATGTTCTAGACAGGCGAGACTCTTCGGAGGACCGTGGTTTAAATGTGCTGGTGACTGAGAAGCAAATACACTTCCTACTCTAGCAGCCACTTGGCATGTCCACATTGTATGCTGCACTCTCAGCAAAACCTTCCCGGACCCCCGGGCGGTGAGCCACTCCTCTGGGCTCCCACAACATTGGGCCCATGTCTCGATTACACGATTCACTGCATTGTCTTTCATTTACTAGCTTAGCCATCTGTCTTCCAAGATGGACTGCCAGCTCCTCAAGGGCACTAACCAAGCCTCATTCGTATTTATATTTTTGGTTTATTCCCTCGCACAGAGCCTAGCACTTGGGACATATTGACTGACTCCTCAAAGGAAGGGAATGGAAGACACTGGTAGTAAGATGAACCAGGAGCTTCCAGACAGCTGGAAGCTGTCATGGAGGGTGGTGCACCCGGAGAGGACACAGAAGCTCCATGCTCCTACCCCCAAATCACGCTCTGTGTCTCTTCATCTGTATCCTTTATAATAAACCAGTAAACATAAGGTCTATAAGAAAGTAATAGGGTTAAGTGATGTCATAAGGGCAAGGCCTTATCCCAAAGGGCCGTTGTCCTCATGAGAAGAGGACAAGACACCAGGGAACGTTCTCTCCACACAAGCATAGCCAAGAGGCCATATGAAGACGCAGCCAGAAGGCAGCCAACCACCATGAGGGAAGACAGCCCTCATCAGAAACCAACCCCGGTGGCGTATTGATATTGGATATAGCCTCCAGAAGTGTGAGAAAAGAATTTTTTTTTTTTTTTAAAGACGAACTGGTGTGGGCATAGAGTTTTACAGTAGAAATAGCAGGTCAAAGAGGTTAAGTTTGGTCTTGGGAGTAAACTGGTTCAAATTCCAGTTCCACCACTATTTTAATGAGGATTAGATTTGGCTATAAATGACAAACCCCAAAACAATAGCAGCTTAAGCAAGTTAGATGTTTACTTTTCTCTTTCATGTAAAATTTTGGAGGTGGCCAACTCAAGATTCCCAAGTTAGGTCCAGCGTGTCCTCAGGGACCAAGGCTCCTGCTCCCCTGCGGCTCTGCTGTTGATGGCCTTGATCACATCATGGCACTGGCTGGCACCCTCTAGCTCAAGCTGTCATGTCTGCATTTCAGCAGTGGAGAGAAGGCTGAGAGTTCCAGGAAGCCGCACATTCCGCTTTTGCTTATATTCTATTGCCCACGATTTAGTCACAAGGACACCTAGCTTCAACAGTCTGGAGAATGTAGTCATAACTCCAGAAGGCCACATGCTCAGCTAAAAATGAGGGTCTATTACTGTACAAGAAGGAGAAATTAGATTTTAGAGGAAAATAGTCTCTGTCATACTAGCTGTGTGACTTTGGGGAAATGAATGAATCTCTCTGATTCAGTTTCCTCATTCAAGAGTTAGAATAATGCAAGCAAACACCTTAGCAAAGTGCCTTGCATTGATGAAGGGTTGAGCTATTATTTTCCTTTGGTTGTGGCTAGGCTGGCAGGTGGCAGGATCCCTCACAGGGAGCGTGTACACGTAAGCCTGCCCAAATCTGAGTTTTTATTCGTGCCACTTACCAGCTCTGTGACTTGGGGTTACTTGACCTTTCTGAACCTTAGTTTTCTCATTTATAGAATGGAGGCAGCAATAATCCTTTCTTTATAGGGTTCTTGTGAGGATTATTTGAGATATCATATGTAAAGCATTTCGTAGAGTACTAAGCAAGAAAGACTCTATAAGTGCTGGCTTCTTTTATTATTACTAGTCAAGACAAGCCCTGAGTGACCTTGAGATTGACCATGAAGAGGATGCTGGAGAAGGTTCCATAGGATTCTGCCTGGCCACCAGACTCCAAAATTCAACTCAGTCTAAGGGGTGGGACTGAGGCTGTAACCAGGAGGCAATAAATTAACTTGGCCTCCAGTGACTGTATTAGGACGCTTGCATTTTGAATTCTCTCCAAACACAGCTGACCTTAAACGCAACGGGAACATCCTCTGCCTTCCTGCATGTTTTCACTCCCTCAAACTGTCAGCAATTCTCATCTACTGGGTGCCTTTCCCAAAGGGCTCAGGCAAGAAGCACCAGGATGAGGAGTCCTAAAGCCAGAAGGAATTTCTGGTCCCAGTAGGACCTGGAGGGCTGTGCCCAGGCTGTGTATAGGCTGGGACTGCCTGGCCCCTCAGGCAGAAGTTGCAGAGGAGCAGAAAATAAGCCTGGATCAGGTGACCCAGACTTCAGCTTGATGAAACAAGCAAAACACACTATTTCTCTTTAGCTCGGCTCCTGGGATTAGCGGTTAGGTCCCCAGAGTATACTGGGTGTTTATTCTCGGAGACACGAAGCTCCAAGGAGTAGCAAGAGTCGGAGGCACAGGGCCTCCCCAGGTAGCTCACTGTTCTACTTCTTGCAGAAGCCAAATTGGGATCATCTGCCATATACCCTTCATGTTCACACGTTGCTTCTCAATTCAGCACCAGCTGAGCAACTGCCAGGGGTCCCTGAGAGACAGGAAAGACTGGGTGGGAAATGGACGACTGCGGCCCTGCTAGCTCCCAGGCTTCCAGGCTCCCAGGGCACCCTTCCCACTCAGTCCTACTGACCAGCACAGTGACTGCTCCATCAGTTACCATGGCCGCTCGGCAACCTACCTGTAAACGAAGCCACTGTTTGATCCCAGAAAACTCCCAGTTAAATCACAAATCTGCTGTTTTTCTGCAGTCTGCGAAGAGGATGTATCACCTGAAGCGAAAAATTGTAAACAACCTAAATGACTAAGGGAAAGGGATTGGTTGCACAAACGATGATTCCATCATTTCAAGTAATATTAGGTGGCCATTAAAAAATATAAATCATTTTTCTGAGGATCCGGCAAGATGGCAGAGGTAGAGCAGAAGAAGAAGCGGACCTTCCGCAAGTTCACCTACCGCGGCGTGGACCTCGAGCAGCTGCTGGACACGTCCTTCGAGCAGCTAACACAGCTGAACAGTGCGCGCCAGCGGCTGCGGCTGAAACCAGGACTGCGGCGGAAGCACCATTCGCTGCTAAAACGCCTGCGCAAGGCCAAGAAGGAGGGACCGCCCATGGAGAAGCCGGAAGTGGTGAAGACTCACCTGCGGGTCATGATCATCCTGCCCGAGATGGTGGGCAGCATGGTGGGCGTCTACAACGGACCTTCAACCAGGTGGAGATCAAGCCGGAGATGATCAGCCACTACCTGGGGGCGAGTTCTCCATCACCTACAAGCCCGTGAAGCACAGCCGGCCCGGCTTCAGGGCCACCCACTCCTCCTGCTTCACCCCCTCAAGTAGTGGCTCAGCTAATAAACGCACACGTCTCAAAAATAAATAAAATAAATAAATAAAAAATATATATATAATCATGAGGATATATATATAATCATGAGGAGATATATACATATATAAATTCGTGAGGATTATGTGGTGACTTGGAAATATGTTTATATTATGATGTTCAGTGAAAATATAAAATCTCATCTCTGCCATGAGTGCAGTGGTAAAAACTATATGTACATCTGGATAAAGAAAAACACACCAAAAAAGGGAAAAAATGGGGTGGGAGGATGGTGGGTACAATTTCCTCTCTCATGTATTTTGGTGTCTATTCCTGCTGTTTGTGCACTAAGTAAGAAAATCGTTTTAAAATCTTGCTCACTAACCTATCATGCACTTTCACCTTCCCCCAAAGAGGAAAAAGCCTCATTCACTGAAATGTGCTAGTGTAGCTCCTTTGCTTATTTTGATATCAACTTTTCAATCAATATTCTCAGGAAAAGATATAATTATTTTAAGTTGAAAGCAAACCACAGATGAACTCAGTTCCCTGGTCAATTCTCCTCCCAGTAGGTGCTGACAGTTAAAAGCAGCTCCTTAAGGGTCAAAAACAGCTCCTTAAGAGCCAAACCCTGCAGTGAGGCCTGTAAACAACTTAGATTCTTCAGGTGCTCGCAGCATTTGAATTCCTGGATCACCTGCGGCAGGCTCACCTGAAGTAGACATTAGAGGTGGGGCTGTTCTGCACCAGGAACAAAGCTACTAAAAAATTCTTGGCTCTTTGAATTTGGCTGAGTGAACAGGAAAAATAAGAAATCATCACTTTAAAATGACCTAGAATTTCAAGAGCCACTTTAATGCCATTCCTGCCACCAACTCATTGTGTAAGCCTAAGCACATCACTCAGCCACTCTCCAGACTAAGGGAACAGATTGTAGCCTGCCTGTAAATGGCTGATGGACAGAAAAACATGAAAATGATGGTGCTAAGCACTTTGCAAATAGGAAACGGAGTCCATTTGAAAGAACCTGGGATCTGGAGTCAGAAAGTCTCCAAGCCAAGCCAAGATCTGCCACGCATGAACACTGGGATGTTAGGCTATTCGTTTCTGAGTCTGTTTCCTCAGTAAAATGGGGATAATACTCTATGCAACTGGATTGTTTTGACATTTAAGTGAGTTTATGAGAAAAAGCTTTGTAAATTGTAAAGCACATATATTAGTTTTTAGGATTGCCATAATAAAATTCCACAGACTGTGTGGTTTAAACAACAGAAATTAATTTTTTTTTTCACAATTCATGAGGCCAGAAGCCTGAGATTACGGTGTCAGCAGGGTTGGTTTCTTGTGAGGCCTCTCTCTTTGGCTTACAGACAGCCGCCTTCTCTCTGTGTCTTCCCATGATCTTTCTTGATGTGTGTCCGTGTCCTAGTTTCCTCTTCTTGTAAGGACACCAGTCATATGGAATTAGGTTCCACCCAAATGACCTCATTTTAACTTCATTACCTCTTAGAAGACCCTATCTCCAAATACAGACATATTTTATTTGTATTATTTTACTTGGCTTTATTATGCTTCACAGAAACTGCTTTTTTCACAAATTGAGGGTTTGTGGCAACCAGCATTGAGCAAGTCTATTGGCATCATTTTTCCAAATACATGTGCTCACTTCATGTGGCTTTGTGTCACATTTTGGTAATTCTCATAATATTTCAGACTTGTTCATTATTATTTCTGTTATAATCTGTGATAAGTGATACTTGATGTTACTATTATAATTGTTTTGGGGTGCCATGGACTGTACCTATATAAAATGGCAAACTTAATTGATGAATTTGTGTGTTCTGATTGCTCCACTGATTGGCTGTTCCCCAGTCTCTCCCTCTCCTTGGGCCTCCCTGTTCCCTGAGACACAATATTATTGAAACTAGGCCAATTAGTAATCCTAATATGACCTCTAAGTGTTCAAGTGAAAGGAAGAGTTGCATGTCTCTTTCCACCAAAAGCTAGAAATGATTAAGCTTACTGAGGAAGGCATGTCAAAAGCTGAGATAGGCCAAAAGCTAGGCCTCTTGTGCCAAACAGTTAACCAAGTTGTGAGTGCAAAGGAAAAGTTCTTGAAGGAAATTAAAAGTGCTACTTCAGTGAACACACAAATTATAAGAAAGCAAAACAGCCACCGGGTGTGGTGGCTCACACCTGTAATCCCAGCATTTTGGGAGGCTGAGGTGGGTGGATCACGAGGTTAGGAGTTCAAGACCAGCCTGGCCAACATGGTGAAACTCTGTCTCTACTAGAAATACAAAAAAATTAGCTGGGCACAATGGCAGGTCAGGAGTTTGAGACCAGCCTGACCAACATGGAGAAACTCCATCTCTACTAAAAATACGAAATTAGCTGGGCGTGGTGGCACATGCCTGTAATCCCAGCTACTTAGGAGTCTGAGGCAGGAGAATCACTTGAACCCGGGTAGAGGAGGTTGCAGTGAGCCAAGATCGCACCACTGCACTCCAGCCTGGGCAACAGAGTGAGACTCCATCTCAAAAAAAAAAAAAAAAAACCAAACAGCCTTATTGCTGATATGGAGAAAGTTTGAGGGGCCTGCATAGAGGATCAAACCAGCTACAACATTCCCTTAAGCCAAAGCCTAATGTACAGCAAGGTCCTAACTCTCTTCCATTCTGTGAAGGCTAAGAGAGCTGAGGAAGATGCAGAAGAAAAGTCTGAAGCTAGCAGAAGTTGTTTCATGAGATTTCAGGAAGGAAGCCATCTCTAAAACACGAAAGTTCAAGGTGAAGCAGCAAGTGCTGATGTAGAAGTTGCAGCAACTTATCCAGAAGATCTGGCTAAGATTATTGATGAAGGAGCCTGTGTTAAACAACAGATTTTCAATATAGATGAAACAGTCTTGTATTAGAAGATGCCATCTAGAACTTTCATAGCTGGAAAGGAGAAGTCAATGCCTGGCTTCAAAGTTTCAAAGGACAGGCTGATTCTCTTGTTAAGTCCTTAATGACTAAGCAGCTAGTGACTTTAAGTTAAAGCCAATGCTTATTTACCATTCCAGAAGTCCTAGGGCCTTTGAGAATTATGCTATTCTACTTGGCCTATGCTCTAGAAATTGGACAACAAAGCCTGGATGACAGCATATTTATTTATAGGATGGTTTACTGAATACAGTTGACCCATGAACAATCCAGAGGTTAGGGACACTGACCCCCACCACAGTCAAAATTTGTGGATAACTTCTGACTCCCCTAAACTTAAGTACTAATAGTTTACTGTTGACCAGAAGTCTTACCAATAATGTAAACAGCCGATAATACATATTTTGTATGTTATATGTGTTATATACTGCATTCTTACAACAGAGCAAGCTAGAGAAAATAAAATGCTAGTAAGAACATAATAAGAAAGAGAAAATGTGTTTATTATTCACAAAGATGGAAGTGGATCATCATAAAGGTCTTCATCCTTGTTGTCTTCATGTTAAGTAGGCTGAGGAGGAGGAAGAGGAAAAGTTGATCTTGCTGTCTCAGAGGTGGCAAAGGTGGAAGAGGCGGCAGAGGTGGAAAGTGAGGCAGAAGAGGCAGGCACGCTCAGTGTAACCTTTACTGAAAAAAAATCCATGGATAAGTGAACCTGCATAGTTCAAATCTGTGTTGTTCAAGGGCCGGTTGTATATTAAGCCCACTGTTGCGACCTGCTGCTCAGAAAAAAAAGATTTCTTTCCAAATATTACCATTTATTGACAGTGTACTTTGACATTCAAGATCTCTGATAGAGATGTACAAGGAGATTAATGTTTTTATGTCTGCTAACACAACATCCATTCTGCAGCCCATTGATCAAGGAGTAATTTTGACTTTCAAGTCTTGTAATTTAAGAAATACATTTTGTAAGGCTATAGCTGCCCCAGATAGTGATTCCTCTGATGGACCTGGGCAAAGTAAAATTGAAAATCTTCTGAAAAGGATTCACCATTCTAGATGTCACTAAGGACATTTGTGATTCATGGGAGGAGGTCAAAATATCAACATTAGCAGGAGTTTGGAAGAAGTTGATTCCAACCCTCATGGTTGACATTGAGGAGCTTAAGACTTCAGTGGAAGAAGTAATTGCAGATATGGTAGAAACAGCAAGAAAACTAGAATTAGAAGTGGAACCTGAAGATGTAACTTGAGAAAAGAAAAACAGCTCAGACCAGAAAGACTTACACCTACCCATGCCTGGGGGTAATTGTTGAAAGACATTTGTTTCTGAGCAGCTGCCTCACCCATGATCTTCTTGTTCCTGGAATTTGTGATACAAAGGACAATGTATAGCCAATGAATAGCTTATGTTATTTTAATGTAAATTCTTGGTAAACACCTTTGGAACTTGCTCTTCTTTTTTCCTTTAAAAACCCACTTATACCTGCTGCTAATTAGAGCATATGTTCACGGCAACTTGATTCTATGCTCCTGTGTTGCAATCCTCAAACTTGACCCAAATAAACTCTCTACTTATACTAATTTTGCCTCATTTTTTTCCTCCAGGTTGACATTTTGAATTGCTGCAATTTTATGATAAAACTTGAATGGATGAGGAGTTGCTTATCATGGGTGAGCCAAGAAAGTGTTTTTTCATGTTTTTTTAGATGAAGTTCACTCCTGGTGAAGATGCTGTGACCATTGTGAAAATGACCACAAAGGTTTTAGAATATTACATAAACCTAAAGCAGTGACAGGGTTTGAGAGGATTGTGTCCAATTTTTTTTTTTCCATCTGTGGGATATGATGAGGTTTCTCTTCAAATAATCTGATCAATCTTTTATTCTTTAATTCATAGTTACACCCCCCCCTTTTTTTTCTCCTTTTTTCTCCTTTTTTCCTTTTTGCCTTTGTTAGGTACACAGGCATGCCACAGTACCAATCGTTATCAGTACCAGCTCACATTCCTTTCCTTATTTGGAAAGAGGACTAACTTTCTAGCTCATTACAGACACCCTTTCCCTTCCTCTCTACTTTCTTTTACGTGCCCTTCCTATCTAAAAAAAATCAAATGTTTAGCCAACCGGGATTAGTTTAGATTGGACGACCCGACCCCGGCCAATGAGGAAAGGGCACAGGGGCAGGACTTGCATCAGGAATAAAGGCTCTCGTGCCCCTTTGGTCAGGTGTGCTCTCATGGCAACTGGCCAAGGAGGCACCCCCTCTGCACAGAAGTAAAATTGCTTTGCTAAGAATCCTTTGTTTGAGTGTTCGATTTCCTTAGGATTTTAAGCCTTATTCCTAACACATGCCCTCAAGAATTTATCCTTTGAATTACAAAAACAATCCAATAACACTCTTCACGTTATTTAAAAATGTACAGTGCAGCCGGGCACAGTGGCTCACGCCTATAATCCCAACACTTTGGGAGGCTGAGGCAGGTGGATCACCTGAGGTCAGGAGTTCTAGACCAGCCTGACCAACATGGAGAAACCCCATCTCTACTAAAAATACAAAATTAGCTGGGCATGGTGGCGCATGCCTGTAATCCCAGCTACTTGGGAGGCTGAGGCAGGAGAATCACTTGAACCCGGGAGGCAGAAGTTGCAGTGAGCCAAGATCACGCCATTACACTCCAGCCTGGGTAACAAGAGTGAAACTCTGTCTCAAAATAAATAAATAAATAAAAATTTAAAAAATGTACAATTAAGTTATTATTGACTATTCTCATCCTATGGTGCTATAAAATAGTAAGTCTTATTCATTCTGTTTTTTGTATTAAATACTTATCAACCATCTGCACCTCCCCTCGAGTTTCCTAACACCCTTCCCAGCTAGTAACCATCCTACTCTCTGTGTCCATGAGTTCAATCGTTTTGATGTTTAGACCCTACAGGTAAGTGAGAAGATACAATGTTTGTCTTTCTGTGCCTGGCTGATTTCACTTAACATAATAATCTCCAGTTCTATCCATATTATTGTGAACGACTGGATCTCACTCTTTTCTTTTATGGCTGAATAGTACTCTATATGTATATGTACCACATTTATTATTTATTTTTTATTTTTTTGAGACAGTCTTTCTCTGTCACCCACGCTAGAGTGCAGTGGCATGATCTTGGTTCACTGAAACATGAACATGACTCAACAGGCCTACCTCCCTCCTGGGTTCAAACAATTCTCTGCCTCAGCCTTCCAAGTAGCTGGGATTACAGGCATCCGTCACCATGCCTCGTTAATTTTTTTGTAATTTCAGTACAGACAGGGTTTCACTATCTTGGCCAGGCTGGTCTTGAACTCCTGACCTCATGATCCGCCTGCCTCGGCCTCCCAAAGTGCTGGGATTACAGGCATGAGCCACTGTGCCCAGCCCCACATTTTCTTTATTCATTCATCTGTTGATGGACACTTAGGTTGCTTCTAAATCTCAGCTATTATAAACAGTGCTGCAACAAACATAGGAGTGCAGATATCTCTTCAACATACTGATTTCCTTTCTTTGGGGTTTACTTTCAATAGGATTGCTGGATCATATGGTAGCTAAATTTTTAGTTTTTTTCAGGAACCTCCAAACTGTTCTCCATGGTGGTTGTACTTACATTCCCATCAACAGCATATAGGGTTCCCTTTTCTCCATGTCCTTGTCAGCATTTGTTATTGCCTTCTTTTGGATATAAACCATTTTAACTGGGGTGAGAGGATATCTCATTGTAGTTTTGATTTGCATTTCTCTGATACTCAGTGATGTTGAGCACCTTTTCATATGCCTGTTTGCCATTTGTATGTCTTCTTTTGAGAAATGTCTATTCAGATCTTTGGCTCACTTTTTATTGGATTATAAGTTTTTTTTCCCTATAGAGTTATTTGAGCTCCTTAGGTATTCTGGTTATTAATCCCTTGTGGGATGGGTAGTTTGCAAATATTTTCTCCCATTCTGTGGGTTGTCTCTTCACTTCGTTGACTGTATTTGCTCTGCAGAAGCTTTTTAACTTGATGTGATCCTACTTGTCCATTTTTGCTTTGGTTGCCTGAGTTTGTGGGATATTGCTCAAGGAATTTTTGCTCAGACCAATGTCCTGGAGATTTTCCCCAATGTTTTCCTACAGTAGTTTCATAGTTTGAGGTCTTAAATTTAAACCTTTAATCCATTTTGATTTGATTTGATTTGTGGATATGGTGAGAGATAAAGGTCTAGTTTCATTCATCTGCATATAGATATCTACTTTTTGCAGCATCATTTATGGAAGAGCCTGTCTTTTCCCCAGTATATGTTCTTGGCATCTTGTCAAAAACGAGTTCACTGTAGGTGTGTGGATTTGTTTCTGGGTTCTCTATTCTGTTCCATTGGCCTATGTGTCTGTTTTTATGCCAGTACCTTGCTGTTTTCGTTACTATAGCTCTGTAGTATAATTTGAAGTCAGGTAGTATGATTCCTTTAGTTTTATTCTTTTTGCTTAGGATAGCTTTGGCTATTCTGGGTCTTTTGTAGTTCAATATATTTAGGATTTTTTTTTTCTATTTCTGTAAAGAATGCCATTGGTATTTTGGTAGGAATTGCATTGAATCTGTAGATTTTTGGGGGTAGTATGGACATTTTAACAATATTGATTCTCCCAATCCATGAACATGGAATATTTTTTCCATTTTTTTTGGTGTCTTCCTCAATTTCTTTCAATTGAGACCAATTTTGAAAGACATTCTGGTTAAAATGGTATCAAAGTCTGGTGTGGTGGCTCATGCCTGTAATCCCAGCACTTTGGGAGGCCGAGGTGGGCGGATCACAAGGTCAGGAGTTCGAGACCAGCCTGGCCAACATAGCAAAACTCTGTCTCTACTAAAAATACAAAAATTAGCCGGGTGTGCTGGTACGTGCCTGTAGTGCCAGCTACTCCAGAGGCTGAGGCAGGAGAATCACCTGAACCTGGAAGTGGAGGTTGCGGTGAGCCAAGATCGCACCATGCACTCTAGCCTGGGCGACAGAGTGAGACATTGTCTCCAAAAAATAAAATAAAACGGTATCAAACAGCATCTCATGCTACAGAGAAAACTTTCGTGAAAGGAGGAGTCAATCAATGAGACAAACTTCACTGTCTTATTTTAAGAAATTGTTACAGCCCAGCTTTCAGCAACTATGACTGCGATCAGTCAGCAGTCATCAATATCGTGGCAAGATCTTCCACCAGCAAAAAGATTACAACTCCCTGACAGCTCAGATGATCATTAGCACTTTTTAGTAATAAAGTATCTTTTAATTAAGGTATGTTCATTTTTTTCTAGACATAATGCTGTTGCACACATAGTAAACTACAGCATAATATAAACATAACCTTTACATGCACTGCAAAACCAAAAACAAAAAAAAAATGTGTGTGACTGGCTTCATGGTGATATTTGTTTTATTGCAGTGGCTGAAACTGAACCAACAATATTTCCAAGGTAGGCCTGTTGAGTCATGTTCTGACGTATTGGGGTTTAGGACTTCAATATATGAATTTGGAGACACAATTCAGCCATAACAACACAATATAAATATTTTTCTGGACTTACCTGGTACTTCTCATGATGGGCTTTTAGGACACAGTAGGAAACAGCCTTGTTGACCATTTTTCCACTACACCATCATGGCGAGAGGCACCAGGAGAGAACTGACAGCACTCTGAGCTTACTCTCTAGCTGCTGTGGGGCCAGGATCTTCTGCGGCTGTGGGCCTCCAGTCCCACTCAGCAAATAAATGAGCCATATTCCCTTTGGGTTTGGAATGCTTTTCTGTAGGAAAGGAGTAATCAAATACTTAACAGCTACTAACTGTTAAGTATTAACAGGGGGAAACAGGTGTGCATGGGCTGTGGGCATTTGTCTCTGTTTACATTTGTGAGTGTCTTCTGGAACAGCCCATCCAGGCCTTTTAAGGAGCTTTCACCAGCTAAAGGAAAAAGCTACCAAAGGGGAGGCCAGGTCACTTTTCTTCCAAATTCTTCCCAAATTATTTACTTTCATCTGCTGGGAAAAGACCTCAACAAACATTTATCAAGGACCTCTTTTGTGCCTGAGGCTGTGCTGGGTCTGGAAGGAATGTACTGCTTCACTGGGCCTGTTTAGTAAATACAGACATTGCTCAACCCACAAGGAGGAGAGAGAGCCCGTGGGTTCAGGAGCTGGGAATGCACTTGTGCCAGCAGAATGGAGGAGGGCCCTGGTCAGGAAGATAGGCTATTTAGTGCTGCTATGTTACTTTTTATTTTGTCTCTTTACGGATGTAAGGAAGAGACATAGCCACGTTACCTGCGAGCCATCCCTCAGTGGCACAGAATCCCATCCTCCCAACATTGCTGCGTCCCAATGCTTCCAAGGTGGTGGGGGTGAGGAGAGGGTTCAGTGCTTTTCATGGAATCTGGATTTCAACTTAAGGCCAATAGATTTGCCCTCTTTCTGAATGTCTAGAATGTATCCTAGCAGAGAGAGGATCTAACTGTGTCAATTTATCCCTCTCCAAAACGGAGCTCTCCTATCTGCCAGAAGCAAAGGACATTTGTTGTTTTTGCCTGCGCAGCTTACCTCCCACTTCTCTTGGAAATAAAACCATACTTTCCTTCCTCGAACCCATTCTATGTGGTTCAGGTGGGGCCGACCTCACCTCCCGCAATGCAGGGAGGGTGCCCTGTCTTTAGTCTAGCCAATAGGAGTAGTCCTCTAGCCCTTGTCACAGTGATTGGCACAGAGCTGGGCACATGACGTAAGCACAGCCAATCAGAGCCTGCTTCAGGCATTGATGTGGCAGCCGGAGGAGAGCAGTTCTGCCCTCCTCTTGGATAATATGCTCTAAGGATGGCTTGGAGCTGCTCGCAGCCATCTTCTCCAGTGGTACAGGGGCACAGAGGACACTTTCATCATCTGGAGAAAATGAAGTCAATGTACAAAGAGAAATCGCAGAGAGATGGAAAGCTAAAGGCAACCTTAAAGACAATGTTTGAGTCCCTGGATCCATCTCTTCTTAGGAGCTAATACATTTCCTATGTTGCTTATATCCCTTTGAGCTGGGTTTCTGTCACTGGGATTGGAAAACTGACTGTCGCAGCAGCAGGGTTTTGTACTGAGCCTCCTCGGAGACAGTCAGCATTTCTCATGCTCGGCACATGGTGTTTACCCTTGGCTGGAGCCCTGATTCTCATTAAACTAATTATGGGCAGAGTATGGGGACTACATTCACTCAGAGATCAGGGCACAAAGCATTGCAACTTTATGCAGAAATTACTACTGAGGACCACTCCCCTTGGAAGTAAGCTGTGGACCAGAGAGTCATTTCACACTTAAACCCTTCCCTCTTTGTCTTTGGCCTTTAAACTCTGGTTTCTATTCTTTACTTTCTGAGTGTGTATTTTCAAATCACCCCTTTGTGGGGAGGTCTCAGGAACATCCCAGACTCCATAGCAAATGCAGGAAGGTATTTAACTTGCATGACAGGGTTTCCTATGGTTTGGACTGCAGAGGAATACTGCACTGCATGCATGAGCATGGATGGTGGGGTCAGATGGAATGAAGATCTTTGGCTTTGAGGCAGTGTAACCTGTCTGCCTTCCTCTGCCATTGTGAGTTCCTCAATTCACGTTACCGTCAACCTCGCCTCATGTCTCCAAATTACCCTGTGGTCCATTGGCCATTTTATATGCATGTCATTCTAGCCTCAGAACATGCCAGCTCCCTTCCCTTAATGTCTTATTGTCTCTATGAATCTAAACTTGGGGGAGTCTACTGGATTATCTTGCCCACGACCATAGCAGTTTTTTTTGTTTTGTTTTGTTTTTGTTTTTGTTTTTTTTGAGACAGAGTCTCACACTGTCGCCCGGCTCGTGTGGTATACAATGATGCGATCTTGGCTCACTGCAACCTCTGTCTCCCAGGTTCTAGCGATTCTCCTGCCTCAGCCTCTGTAGCTGGGATTACAGGTGCCTGCCACCATGCCTGGCTAACTTTTTTGTATTTTTAGTAGAGATGGGGTTTCACTATGTTGGCCAGGCTGGTCTCGAACTCCTGACCTTGTGATCTGCCCACCTCAGCCTCCCAAAGTGCTGGGATTACAGGCGTGAGCCACTGCACCCGGCCGACCATAGCAATTTACATGTGGGTTTGGTTTGGGATTGAGGGTCAAGATCCACTGAGGGACATGGCTTCTCTTCCAGTATTTACTTTTGTTTGCAAATGAGTACATATTCTGACTCCGACTCCGAAGTCTTATAAAGCTTTTCTAACTCAATTTTCAGAGGTAACAATAGACACAATAGACTCAACCTGACCATTTGATTGGCAGTATCCTCTGTTTCCTTTTGCATAAGATACCTGTGTCGTTTCTCCTCCGCTAAGTAATTGCAGCAGCTTTGGTTTCTCCCTCTGCTATGTGACACAGCATGAAGGTTTGGACAGGAGTTTAACTATTACCCTTTAATGTTTTTGTTGTGTTACTGTCAAATTGTGTCTTCTTAAAGGTTACTTCCTGTCCTGTCTTAGGAGCAGGAGAAAAAAGTGGCTGTGTGCCTTATGCCCTATCTGTATAAAATGCCTTTCATTATTGATAAAGATACACTATTCCAGGAGACTCACCTATTTAACCAGGTCAAGAGCTGGAAACCTTTCTCCAGTCTGTGTTCAGCCTCTAGCCCCACAGTGATGTGAATACAAAGCAGTCTTCCTTGCAGGCGTTCAGCACACAGGCCATAAGCCAAGAGCAGTGGATGGCACACAGAAGGAAGAGGCTCACTTTCTGCTTTATCATTTGGGATTTGAGCGGACCCAGAGAAGGAACGCCAAGGAGAGGACCTAGACTCGTAACCCCCACATGCCACCCTTTTGTTTCTCCTAAGATTAAAAATGCTTATCACTATTTGAGGTTCTGTTAATGTGCCAGATACTTCAAGTGCTTGAGATATGTTAGAGAATATGATTCCCATTTTATACATAAACAAACTCAAAGATGTTGAGAGAATACCTGAAGAAGTTAAAAGGCTGTCACGCAGCCAGAGGTGACCCTGGGCTTTTGAGGGCTGGCAGGTGGCAAGCACCCAGGTGAGAGCTGTGGGGTGGCCTGCAGACCCCGAGGAGTTAGAAACAGAGACCTTGGGACAGGCTCCAGGAAGGTGGCCTGTGTGAGAACCTCTCTAGTCCCCCGTGCTCCTGGGAGAGGCAGCTCAAGCGCAAAGCCAGAGGCACCCCCCAGTGGGGTGAGAGAGGGGCGTAGATCACCTTCCAGAAACAGCTGCCAAGTGGATGTTAAATTTTGTAGGTTTTCTTGATTCCATTTGTTAATATAATCTTGTGCTCATGGGTGTTAAAAGACGTGGGCCTGAGGTAACACTCATTTGGTTTATTGTAATAGTTACTCCTGGGGATTACACATGCTAAACAAAGCAAAATATTCACCAAGCTCTCAATCTGAGCTCCTTGGGTCAGTAAGCAGAGGTCACCATCTTTTCCTAGTCCCACTGGTGAGTTAAATTCTGGAATGGCTCTGAATTATCAATATGTCAATAAAATGTCGGTAAGCCAGGACGACATGCTGTTGCAGTATTGACTGTCGGATCCTAAAGCAAAAACATGTTTTAATTGTTTTTTGCCAAGTATAGGGAAGCCAGTAAGTAGAGACCCGGATTGAGAGGGTTAGAGATTGCCACCGATCTTTAGTTTTCAGTTTTGAGAGTCTTGTAGCGTTGTGGAATCCATTTCTCATTTTCACCCACAGAATTTATATCAGAGTCAGAAACAGGAATGTGCAAAGGGAAATATCCGAGAAAACAGGCTGTTCCAGGCTTACCTGGTAGGGTAGGGCTGGTGCCCAGGTACAATCATTGGCCAGTGTAAACATATTTGAGTCAGCTCGTGGTGATGACTTTGAAGCATGGGAGGAGGAGATGGGTCCAACTTTACTTCCATAAGCATTTGCTTTACCTGATTAGATTCTCCAGGTACAGTGTGGTGAGGAATGAGACTAACTGCAGCCAGACTGCAAAACTGTGGGTGTGGTATGTCTTCTGGAAAGACCTCCTTCTCTTTCCCCACAGAGCAACAATGGTTCCCCTTTTTCTTTGCTTTAGCCCAAAGGTGGGTCTCATCTTGGAAGTCACTTAGGGTTCTCTTTCTCCTGAGGGACACACATGGGCAAAGATTTGAATACGTCTGCGCCCAGGGGCTTTTCCATCCTAAGGACCTTGTCACCCTTTGTGCTTTGCCTTGTTTCTCTTTTCTTTCTTTCTTTCTTTCTTTCTTTCTTTCTTTCTTTCTTTCTTTCTTTCTTTCTTTCTTTCTTTCTTTCTTTCTTTCCTTCCTTCCTTCCTCCTTTCCTTTCCTTTCCTTTCCTTTCCTTTTCTTTTCTTTCTTTCTTTCTTTCTTTCTTTCTTTCTTTCTTTCTTTCTTTCTTTCTTTCTTTCTTTCTTTCTTTCTTTCTTTTTTTTTTTTTGATGAAGCCTTGCTCTGTTGCCCAGGCTGGAGTGCAGTGGCACAATCTTGGCTCACTGCAGCCTCTACCTCCTGGATTCAAGTGATTTTCCTGCCTCAGCCTCCCAAGTAGCTGGGACTACAGGCGTACACCACCACACCCAGCTAATTTTTTTTTTTTTTTGTATTTTTAGTAGAAGCGGGGTTTCACCATGCTGGCCAGGCTGGTCTCGAGCTCCTGACCTCAAGTGGCCTCAAGAGGCCCCCCTCGGCCTCCCTAAGTGGTGGGATTACAGGCACGAGCCACTGCATCTGGCCATCTTTTCATTCTACTCTTAACTCTCACCCTAACCCACAGGAGACCTATGCGAACTGGAAAAAGAACGCCTCTCTGGGCAGGGGTAGCCTGTACCAGGCTGCATGGCTGGGTGGGCAGATGATGGGCTGGATTTGGGCCCCCAATTTTCCCCTCGGTGGGTGTTCTTGTGCAGTGAACACTGCATAGCTGAATGTGGTGGCCCTGTTAATGCTCACCATTTTCTTACCTTACACTACAAAGGTAAGCTGCAGAGCCCTTTTGGGGCTAAGGCAGGTGTAAATGAATTAAGTATTAATGTGATATAGCTGAGTAGGCTATTCCCCCACTGTTAACTTGGGAGGGTAGTACCAGGTGGGGTCCCACACACCTGGTGGGGGAGTGGTGGTCACCTCTGGAGGAGGCTTCTTTAGAAATACAGATATGCTTTGCGGGGTGAGCTGAATGGAAACTGCAGCCACTACTGGGGAGTAAGGGTGAATCTCGGCACAGGCAGGAATCAGCATGGATTTTGAGAGGCATAGATGGAACGATTCTGGAGTAGAAACAGTGATGTGAGTTGATGCTGTCAGATGGCAGCTGAAACAGACAGCAAAAGCTGTCATTAACTGGTCAGAGCCAATTGCAGGAAGAAGATAAGAGAAGAGAGGAAAGCAGAGCAGCACAGAGGAAAGAAGAGAAGCGGAGGAGAAGAGAGAGAAGACAGAGAGGGGAGATGGGGGGAGAGGAGATGAGGGGAGGGAAGATGGGGGGAGGGGAGAAGAAGACAGGAGAGGAAGTGGGGAGAAGAGGAGAAGGGAAGGGAGAGGAGCATAATAACATTTCCAAGGTCTGAGGGATTCAGTTTTACTCATGCTCACTCTGTTACAATTTATTACCTCCTCCATTCAGTACACATTTATCGAGCTTCTTCTCTATGC